CCCTCCGTACTTCTTCTCCAATTTAGCCTTCGCTCTTTCATACGCACTAAGGGAATACCCAAGATCTTTCACCATCGTTAAAGCTTTACCCGACAAACAGCCTTGTAGTCTAAGCATTTTTTCTCCGACAGGAATATCACGACGATCGACAACAGACAGGAATGCTGCCTTCCAGGATTCATAGTCACTTTTTTCTTCGCCAGAGACGATAGGGAGATCCACTCCTTTAAGTCTAATGGGAGAAAATGTCTGTCTTTGTTCTTTGTTTTCATTGGGTAGCTCTGAATATTTTTCTAAGTGACGGTTAATAAGGAAGTTCTGTACTGTATCATTATCCGATACTTGCGATCTTCGTTCGGCTTCTTCAGCCCGGAATTTGTTGAGAGCAGCAACTTTCCTTGCATCATCGGTTCGCTGTTTTGTCAGCTGCAGCTCAGCGGTCAGCTTTTGGATCTCTAGCTCCTTTACTCGCTGTTCGTTTTCCATTTGGATTAGCCTTTCACTAGCCTCCTTTGCCTCTTTTTGTTTCTGTTCCACATTTGAGGATTTTTTCGACATAACTGGAGACTGGGGACTAGTTTCTTGTGATCGAAGTGAAGTTAACACTGAGTCAGTTTCTCCATTGCCAAGTCTTTCCTCGAGATGTTGTTCAGCCATTACAATTATGGAATCGACTGAAGACCCGATGTCTTCAAGTTCTTTGTCTAAAGTCTCGATAACTGTGTTGGTCTCCTCATTTTCAGCACTCACAGCATAAATCTCTTTTAAGCCAGAAATAATTTTTTCAATAATACTGATCTCGGAATTAACTTTATTAATAGCTCTTCTTATGGCATTTTTACTCGGCAATGGCACACCAGGAAGTTGTTTCTCGATTAGGTCGTTCAATTGTTTCTTAGCTTTTGTCAGCCTGGTTTTAGCCGATTTTTTACTACTTCGTAAAATTTGAATCTTGGTACTCACTTGTTTGCTTTCTATATTCAATGTATTTTCTTCTTTTTTACTTTCGTGATCGGCGAGATGAACGTTTTGAATACTGTTTACAGCTTCAACACCTTGGTCTGTCTCTTCTCCCAGCAAGTCTTGTTGTTGTCCACTCGTACTAAGCGCCATATTTGCTCGCACATTCACAACAAAAGTCGCGAATTTCTCGTTATTTCGTCAGCAGATCCGGCTGTCGAAGGACCAAACTTGTTCCCGATTAATTGAACTGTCTATAAAATGTCTACACGAGATAATTCGCCACTTTATTCCGAGTCTTTAAACACAAAAATAGCCTAAATATCGTCACACTTTTTGTAGTCAAAAAATATAAACTAGAACGTTCAAAAAACGTTTTGTCGCCCGCGCGACTATTTCAGCGGTCATGATAACAAGTACTTCATATAATAATATCGTTCGTTAACACGGATTGTTTACAAAAATCGGGCATCAAACCATTAAGTGACAGGCGTGTGGATGCATGCGAGAAACTGTTTAATGAAATCACCACAACACCAGTAGCTAATATGCATAATCATGTACCATCTAGGTACTTTCCAAATTACGACCTTAGACACTCAAGGTCTTTTGTTGTTCCTCAGACCAAAACGAACAGATTTAGAAACAGTTTTTTCCCTTCATCTGCAAGGCATATCAATAATATTAACTGACAATCGATTCTGATATTCAGTTTTAGACTGACTAACATTTTTTTAGAAATTTACTAGTTTCATAGCTAATTTGTAATGTAACTTTAAACTTCTGTAATATAGAATTATAAATTGTAATGTAATTTTAAACTTCTGTAAATATAGAATAACTAATTTTAATCATTTCTCTTGTAAAATTTAGCACGCAATTCAGCCTTATTGGCTGCTATGTGTTAATCTTATTAAACAAACAATCTATCTATCTATCTATCTTTAAGTCTGATCATTCGTTAGAGATTATGTTTGTATATATGGTGAATGTATTTCTATCGTATGCCTTTTGCTGATGAATAGTGCTTGTATTTACTAAATGAATTTTGAAATCTTCTCTAATTCCGAATGTGTGTATAGTTGCTGTCCACCACGATTAGCTTTTGGTATTTGTGGACAGCAAGACTTTTATTGATTTTGTAAATTAGTTTGACATAATAAATTGAATTGAATTGAATTCCGCTTCTTTGCGTCTTTTAATTAAATGTAAATCAGTACTATTCATTTCAAGTGTTTGTTGCCTTCGTCATTTATCAATGCATTGCTAGTGGTTTCACTATCGTTATCTCATTTCGATTAATATATTAGAAATGGTCATTCTCCGTCATGTTATATCACACTAGGTTTGATCTATGGTTACTGACTCTAGTATTTCTGTTTTTTCAAGGTAGGTTCAATTAGCAAACATTTGAGCAGCCAGTATTTGTTGACAATAGTGAGGTTTGGATTTGACTACCACTATAGCTACCTTTCACTGACTTAGTACACATTTAATTGGTCAATCGGGTAGATTAGACGCATCTAATTGGTTGATAGTCCCTTAATGGTAGCGGTATTGGTGAGTGAAAACTTACTAATATTTATCTTAAGATTACGATTTCCGCCCGGTCCATTTATCGCAAATACTAATAACGTTGTATTAATTTAGTCTATACCCATACAAATCAGACTTTATATATGACTTTATAAAAATATGACTTTAGTTTCAAACATAATTATTAGGATAGAAATTAACGATATGGCACCGAATTGGTAGTTTTAACTTTGGTTAAAGATTAGGTTTTCGAGTTAATCTTTTAGGATTTTTACCTCATCTATTATTCATATTACATGTAACTTAAAAGACATATTTGTTTCAATATCAGCACGAATGCTTATATATTCTTTAGGTCTTGTTATAATTCTAAACAGATAATAATTATTCCATGCTTGATTTCATGCACAATGATTTCATCCACTTTTATGAATCAATATTTTAGGTATTCAGGATGTTAAGACTAATTCGCTGTTTGTTAGCCACCGTGGCGATGATTTCAATAATTGTGGTAACTGGACTATGCCATGTCGTACTGTGCGACATGCAGTGAAGATTTCTAATGATGGAGATCAAATTTTTATTGATTATGCACAAGGAAGACCTTATAAGGAATGCGAAAATGTGACACAATCAACATGCTCCATGGAATTGACAAAATCTGTTTCATTTTACGGCATCAATGGAAGAGCTGAACTTCAGTGTAACAAACGTTGCAAGTTTTTCATCATAACGAGTCCGGGTTTTAATATAACACGCATCAAATTCTTCAACTTGATCATATCGAATTCACGTGATATAACTGAGATTGACAAAGGAGCCAGGATGGAACTTGTATATCAAAATATGTTGGTCAGGGATAACAACTACGCTATCTACGGCAAACATTCGACTGACTGCTCCGTTCTGATAACCAACTCAAGTTTTGAGAATAACTTTAGCTCGGGAATTTATCTGGCATGTTCTAATCTCACTGCACATATAACCTCTAGTACCTTCGAACTTACTCCCGTGTACTTGACTAACATTGCAAATACGCCAACACGCTGGCAAAAAACGGAGATTTTCGTTCGAAATACGATTTTTAATGGTAAAAATATTCACAAATGTGCCGCACTGCTCGCTTTTAAGCCATTTGCAGCTATATTCAGTGTTTCAATAACTGACTCAGAGTTCAAAAATCATTTTGCAGTTTGCAGGAGCAAACACGATCTTCGATATCAGTATTCCACACTATGCATATACGACCATCACTCACGGCCCCGTAACATAACATTTATATTTTTCAGAAATCTACTAATCGAAAATAACTACGGTAACTTGCCTGCACTGTCCCTAATTGCAGGTTATCTGGATTACACTGAAGTAGAAGTTTTGATACGAGACAGCATTTTCAGGAATAATTCGTTAGCACTTTGGGTTTCCACCAACTATTTGGATAGACATCCTGACAGCAAGTCTCCCACAATAATTCATGAGAATAACACGTTCGTTAATAACAATATTCATAATCTGCTAAAACTTAATGGTGAAGCAGCAATTTACTTCAGCCATGGTAAAAGCCTCGTATCGTCATGTCGTTTCCTCGACAACGGGGCTGGTCAAAATTCCTACACAAGCGTGGTGAAAATTTCCGAAATGGGGCAAGTTACTTTTTTGAATTCCTATTTTGAAAACCGGCAAACCCAAGTGCTGTCCAATCAGCTTTTTGCGTCAGGAAATAGACCGGTTAGCTTTACTGGCGAAAATACGTTTAATTTAGTCGCCTTAAAGGAGAGACAGACGGTTTTTGTTCGCATACCAACCGCAATGTATTTAACGAACGGTGGGGTAATTATGAAGAAGAATTTTAAGATCTTATGTCCGGCAGGATACAAATTATACGCGCAACGACAATGTACAGTTCTAAAGAAAGGAATCGTAAAATGTAGATATATCAATGTCCAATGTGAACAGTGTCCAACGAAGACCTACACACTCGAAAGAGGAAAATTCATTTTCAATAAAAGCAATGACATCCAATGCCAGCAATGTCCTCGAGGAGGGGACTGTGACAGTGGACTGGTCACGGCCAAATCCAACTTTTGGGGTTACAAAACAAAAATGAAAGTCCACTTTCTTCAATGTCCTCCAGGATACTGTTGCAACACCGAGGATTGCATCACCTATGATACTTGCCATGGAAACAGATCTGGTACACTTTGTGGTCATTGCTCAGAAGGAATGTCGGAGAGTTTGTTCTCCACACAATGCATATCAAACGCAGAATGCTCCTTAAATTATTTCTTTATTCTTGGCACAATTACACTGCTTGCTTTATATCTTGTCTTCTTTCTTTACCACAAAGAAATTGTTAGCATTCTTCGAACAAGTTTATTTAGTAAACGCTTGTCGTTCTCAATAAACAACAGAAGCGAGCAAGGAAACAATGTTAGCACCTGTGGTAATACCTCTTCACCCAGTGGGATGATTAAGATATTATTCTATTACTATCAAGTTTGTAATTTGCTAAGAAGCTCCGTGGGTTTTTCTAGAAAAGGGAAATTCATTCATAAGTTTGAGAATGTTATTTCAAGGGTGATGAATATGATTCTAGTTAACCTTCCATCTTTTAACTGTCCTTTTGCAAACCTTCGTGCTGTTCCTAAGGCGATCATTTTACATTCTGTAGGACACTCTCTTCTTGCTCTTGTCTGTCTTCTTTATTTGATAAGCAAGTTGTTTCTGATTCTCAGGAGATCTAAAAGTGATAGTAGTAGAGCAACAACGTTGCAATATATTGCAACAAGAAGGTCCGATCAAAACGATAGAGCTACAAAATCGGTGCTGCAACGAATTACTTCGGCCTTCACTTACATTTCTTTATTGATGTATGCTTCCTCCACTCAACTCTGTCTTTCCCTTCTTCACTGTGTACCAGTTGGTGATAACCAAGTCTTATTTCTTGATGGTAACATCAAATGTTACCAAACATTTCAATATTTTCTTCTTGGTTACATGATTTCTTCTATACTTCCATTTTGTCTTGTTCCTGTCCTCGGTTCGTATCTTTTAAAGTTTGGTCGAATTGGTGTTAAGCAATTTTGTGCGGCTTGTATCTTTCCTTTGCCATTTTGCTTGTATTGGTTGTATTTGTTGCTTAAGGACTGTCGTTGTGGTAATCAAGAAACATATAACACAATAGAACAAAATGATGTTGCAATAAGATCTGAACAAGGTAATGACCAAACACAACGCCTTGGTAGTGAAGAAATCGCCTTTACCTCCTCCACTGATAGAAATGAAATCACCACGAGAAGTGAATCCCCTGTTTGTACTGATAGCAATGAAGTCTCTTCTACGAGAAGTGAATCAGCTGTTTGCACTGATAGCAATGAAGCCACTTCTACAAGAAGTGAATCAGCTGTTCTCAATGTTTTGTTGGGTCCATTTAGATCTCATCAAACTTTTATGTGCTTTCCTTCTTCACACATTCCTTGGGAAGGTTTTCTTATCTTTCGTAGATTGGTATTGATTATTGTATTGACTTTCGTCTACGACATTCAGCTCAGACTTTTTCTAGCTTTATTCCTATGTGTTGCCATTCTAATCTTCCACACCATTGTGTATCCTTTTCAGAGAAAAAGTGACAATGTACTGGAATCTTTTTCTCTCGGTACACACGTGGTCCTGTGTGGTTCGACTTTGATAAAAGCTCTTTATTATGGTGAAGATTATTCTTCTTTTTCAAACCGTTTGCCTGTGTTGCATGTGATTGAAAATATTCTTATAGTCGCTCCATTGTCTGTCATCATGATCGTTGTTGTTGTTTCTATCGCTATAAAATTGGTATTTGGTTTAAAACTCTGCGTATCAGTTGTAATTCGAAAAGTAAGAAGGCTTGTGTAAGTTTACATATTCCATGTATTTACTTAATCTATAAATATTCCAAATGTATGGCTGTATATATATATGTCATTGTCACTTAAGCACGTAAATATTAGCTGGCACAATATTACTACATCCCCATAGATGTATTATTTAAAGGTGATCTACAGTCCGTATGTAAACAAAGCCTTTGTTTATATTTTTGCGGCCAAAATATTGAGCTTTATTCGACAACTATTTATATTTTCAGGCTTCTAGAGTATAATAAATGATCAAGAAACAACAATCAGGCTTTGCAAGAACCCAAAACATAGTTAAACTGTTTGTATCATGGGCTCCTTTGTGCACATGCGCAGATCGGACTGTAGATCACCTTTAACATTGTAGTTAATTTGTAAAATAAAATGTTTGTTGTTTTCGCATCGTATGTGTTGCTATTTTGTTAGAGCGCGGCAGCCCCCCCCCCCCCCCCCCC